TCTTCTTCATGGACCATCATAACAGAATGCAATTAAATCTCCATTCAAGAAATCAACCAGGCCAAAATCTGCAAATATATTATTCTTATTCTATTTTCAGCATGAACTATTTTCTGGAGTTTGTCCATGAATATATGAAAAGTTGGGTCTCCATGAGAAATTAAAACTTCAGCTGTTAAAAATAAGGACAATGATATTTATATAAAGCATCATATTTTTAGTCACACTGCTTTGGGAGGATTTATGGTTGTATAACATAAAACTCTTGACATTTCAGACAGAACATAATGGATGGCAAAATGGAAGGAGACATGGAGAAAAGAAGAGAAATAATTTTTAGTCACACTGCTTTGGGAGGATTTATGGTTGTATAACATAAAACTCTTGACATTTCAGACAGAACATAATGGATGGCAAAATGGAAGGAGACATGGAGAAAAGGGAAGAGAAATAGGCTTAATTGTCTAATAGAATATCATAGGGCAAGACTGTTTGGATTTACTCTTCTGGAAGATCATTGAAATAATTTGATGCTCAGCCAATGAATATAAAAATATTTTTAGAGTATAACCTCAGCATCCAGTTAATTCAAAGACAAATGGTTTCTGAGACTACTGCTGGTAGGTCCAGGAGAGCTGCGGGATGCTGTGCTGTATCCAACACTAACTTGGTAGCTGGAAACATATCCAGTTATATTTCCTAAGGCTTGGGTGGTGTTACTTCCTGGCTGCTATTGATTTCACTATCGGTTCTGAAAATGTGCTGTTTGTGCAAGGTATAATTTGATTCTATTTTTGTTAGATGGGAAACATTAATTTTTGTCTTTGGGGACAGTATAAATGAAATATGAACCACACAAAGTCATATTTGGACACAGAGATACAAACAACTACATCTTGCCAAATGTACCTTTTGGGTCAAAAGAGAAGGAAATTATATAAGCAATACACTGGAATGGTAATTAACGGGAGTTAATGGCTCTTTAGTCAGACTTCTCCATTTTCTAAAGTATTTGTAAAAGAATTAGATGCAATGATCTATGATATTATGAAGACTATTTCAGATTATAAGCAAAATTTTATTGTAAATAGCACTGTGTTGAATGTAATGAAGTTCTATATCATTAGGGAATAAAATATAAAAGCTAAGGATTCTTTGACTGCAAATGTAAACAGTTTTAAACCCTATAAAAACTTCATAATTTCTTGTCAGATAGTCATTAAGTGGCAAAAAACAGGCACAATGAGAATAAATGAAGTCATAATAGTTGCATAGTTTTCTGAAGAAATTAGTACCTGTCAAAAAATGCAATTTGTTTTTAAAGTTAATCTGCTTCTGTGGAAGCAGAAGTATTTCTTTCATTTTGTATTAATCTGTTAAACCAAGTACAAGGTCTATGTTTAATAACTTATCTGGCTTTGATTGGCCTGCACCTATGCATATATGGGCAGCAGTAACTGGACTTAGCAGGCTAAATAAATAAATAAATAAATAAATAAATAAATAAAAAGAGAGACATGAAGTTGGCAAAGGAACAAGTTGAGAAGGGATATGGGAGCAATTCAAGGGAGAAATGGAAGATAGATGTCATATTTCATTGTATGAAATTCTCAAGAATAAAGAAAAATTTTTAAATAGAATAACTTATCTAGTGTTAGCTTATGTGATGGATAGAGTTAACTGTCAGCTTGACAAAACCTGGAATCCCTTGGGAGAAAGGCCTCAGGGCATGCATGTGGGGGATTATCTTAAGTTAATTGAGGTGGGAAGACCCTCTGTGGGTCACACCGTTCCCTAGGCTGAAGAACTTGGACTGTGTCACAGTACAGAGAGTAAGCTGAGCACTAGTAAGCTTGCAGCAATTTATCTCTATCTGCTCTTGATTGTTGATGTAATGTGATTGGCTGCCACAAGTTCCTACTGCTGTGACTTCACTACAACAATAGATTGTACTGCTAAAATAAACCCTTTATCTCCTAAGTTGCTTTTGTCAAAGTATTAATAGCAACTATAAAAGAAAATAAGACAGTTTAAGTAGTTGATTCTTTGAGACATATGATGTAATGAACCCATTATTTGACATATGAAAGATAATGCTGTTTCAGATTACTCCATTGGCATCCTTGTTCTTGGGAGTAGCTGGGAAATTTAAAAGAAATGCCCAGGGCTGGGCTATGGTTCAGTTGCTAATGTGCCTGTCTCACAAGCAGGACCTGAGTTTGAATCCCCAGAACCCTAGTAAAAGCCAGGGAAGTGACACGTTTCTGTAACCCTAGCACTGGGATATATAGACAAGCAGATTTGTGAAGTTCATTTGCCAGCCAACCAACCCAAGTTGATGAGCTTCAAGTTCAGTGAGAAACCCTGTCTCAAAAAATCAAGGTAAGACTAGGCTTTGTGGCTCATGCCTTTAATCCCAGCATTTGGAAGGTAGAGGCAGGCAGATCTCTGTGAGATTGAGTCCAGCCTGGTCTACATAGAGAGTTCTAGGCCAGCTGGGCTACAGAGAGACCTTGTCTCAAAAAAACGAATAAAATAATAATAATAATAATAATAATAATAATAATAATGATGATTAAAGGTGGAGAGCAGAGGAGGACATATACCCAGAGTCATCCTCATACCTCCACACTGACCCACACACATACACATCCACACTAAGAAGTGCATACAGCAAAACACAAAAAGCTGATAACTACAAAAGCGTTCAACATCTGTAATCATCAAGGAAATGCAAATTAAAACTTCTTCCAGATACCACCTCAAAACCCAGTCAGAATGGCTACTACTGGGAAGTCCAACAACAAATAGAGAGAACGGGAAAGGAACCCTGACTCCCTGACTCACTGCTGGTGTCAGTGCAAATTAATACAGCCATTATGGAAATCAGTCTGAGATTCCACAAAAAAAATTAAAAATACCATATGACCCAGCTATTCCAGTCCTAGGCATACATTCAGAGAACTCCATATCTTATGGTAAAGACATTTACACACCCTTATTCATTGCTGTTTTATTTATGATAGCAAAGAAATGGAACCACCCTAGATGTCCACCAAGAAATGGATGACATAAATGTGCTATATTTATAAAATGGAATATTATTCAGCTGTAAGGAAAAATGAAATTTGCAGGTAAATTGATAGATTTAGAAAGCATAGTATTAAGCCAAGTCACCCAAACTCAGAAGGAAAAAGCCTGCATGTTCTCCCTCATATGCAGATCTATAATATATATGTGTGTGTATGTAAAAAGCTGTCAAGTGTGGGTATAGAATAACATTTAGAAAGGAGACCAACAAAGGGTAACATTAGGTTATAAGGAAGAGCAGAATGCAAGTGAAAGAACACACAAAGGAGGATATGAAGTTCCCTTTTTCCTCATTTCAACTCTATCATAGTTCTTTTCCGTGTTGGATAAATGTATAACAATGTAACTGTTAGTGACAGTGTAAAATCCCAACAGAAGCTCCAGGGCCTCAGAACTGCAGTCCCAGTGATACAGAAGTTCAGTAGAGCTATAGAAATTTCTACGGCAATATTTGTTTGAGTGGTTGCCTTAATCTAGCTGTGTGGTGTTTTCACTTGTGAGTTCATTACAAAACAATGATTCTATTAATTTTTTTAAAAACAAGTATACATAACACATACATACAGAAAAGGAAGGAAGGTAGTAAGGGAGGGAGGGAAGAAGGGGGAGAGAGGGAGAGAGAGAGGAGAGAGAGAGAAGAAAGGGAAGAAAGGGGAAAAGAGGGGGTGAAGAAGGGGAAGGGGCAAAGAAGTCAAAGAAAGAAAGGAAGGAGGGAGGGAGGGAGTGAGGGAGACTGAAAGGAGGAAGGGAATTAGAGATGGGAAGAAGGAAGGGAAAAATAAGACAAAAGGTCCAACTCAGGCAGTCGTCATTTCACTGATGATGAATTCTACACCTAAGCAAAGCCCCAGCCTTCCACGTTGTATGAACACACCCTCCAGATCCCATCCTAACATGTTTTCTCCTTGGAGTCAGCCAATGGCAGTCCTCTTAAAGCTGATTCTACCCAAACAAATGTCTCAGAGAGATGGGAAGTTGGCAGTCTGAGTCACAAATGATGCTTTACCTTGAAAGAACTGGCCCATTGCAGCAACTCTCAACAGATTATCCCTCTAAAGGAACTACTGGTGCTCTACATGGTCTTTTTTCCCCTTCATGCCATATCCTATCCAGCTTAATCCTTTTTATAACACAAGGAATTTAGATTGCTGATACTGACCTGATTTGACCACACAGAAACAGTAAAGAGTTCTGTCCAAGTAACTTCACAAGGTCAGTGAGGAACTTTAGTTGCTCCTATAAGCAGAAGTCTTTCCAAATATATGTCTGTATTGTACAGTATTCATGATAAAAAAAAATTAAAAGTTCTGGTCATTTCAAAAACCATGGATCATTGGGGAGGCCTTTTTTAAGAGTGTGAAAGGGAAAAGAAGCATACACAGAAGTCTTGGCCGTGACACAGAGTGAAATAGCTGTGGGTAAAGCTGTGGGCCTGTGCAGAGAGCTACCACCACACAAGCCAAAAAACTGCCTAACTCCATTCTTTTCAAAATATTTCACTAAATTCAAAACTACTCTGATAAAAATATTCTCTCACGTACATTCTTAAGTATAAAAATCAGAATTGTTTGAAGCAAACAAATAACAGATTTGTACTCTGAAAAAAACTCATATAAGTAATGTTCCTTAATAGTAATTGGAAAGTTGGGAATGTTTGTTAGGACCCTGGTAGCTAAGATTCTTTTTCATATATTGAATATTCATGTAAATTGTGATCTTGGCACTAGATCATCTTCTTCTCCCTGAAGAGCCCATTAATGACCCAGACTAGACTGTCCCTTCCCCCTTAAAGAGAAGACTACCCATTATCCAGTGTCCTTTGTGTCACAGTGAAGAACAGGGAACTTTTTATTCTTTCCAAGAAATGTCCTTTCAGATTCAGTAACAGCATGTTCTGTTCTGTTCCTCAGGAAATAAGAGAAGATCGAGACAGGGCGCGGCTGGACTCCATGGTGCTGCTGATTATGAAACTGGACCAGCTTGACCAGGACATCGAGAATGCGCTCAGCACTGCCTCCTCTCCATCCAGCACCCCGACGAATCTGCGGCGGCAAGTCCCTGTGAGCTGCCACTTTCTACTTCTTTCCTTGGTGGAGTAGTGTCTTCCTATTTTGTTGTTATTAGTGTTTGGTTTGGTTTGGGGTTCATTTAGTTTGTTCGTTTTTGTTTTTGTTTTGTACTAGAGATTGAATTGGGGGCCTGGCCCACTTTAGGCCAGCAAGTTTCACTAGGCTGTGTCTTCAGGCCTGTTTTCACTTTTTATTTTGAGACAGGGCCTCAGTAAGTTGACCAGCCTGTCCTTGAACGTTTTATCCAGCCAAGACTGGCCTTGAACTTGCTATCCTCCTGCCTCAGCCTCATGAACACCTGATATTACAGGTCTGTGCCCACCAAGCCCAGTGAAAATCATATCTCTTTACTTTATAAGTCTCTCTTACAAGTGAAACATCTTTAGCATTCTTCAATGATATAAAGAATGTAAACTTCATTAGAAGTGATGTGAATCTTGCTCACTACATTATTTTCAGTTTTCAAGTTACTATCAGTCATTTCCAGGATATAAGTTCCTATTCTATAAATTTATATCACATGAAAAATGTGGGGTTGCTTCCTCTCCTCGTGGGTCGTTGGCCACCGTTCCATGAGGACAAAGGGAGCAGAAGCGACGAATGGGGTCAGGATGGCCAGTGAGCACTGAAGGAAGAAAGCCCTTCCAGGGAGGCAGATTCAGTGATACAAACAGCTCCAGACTCAGTAAAACAGCTCCATTTATTCAGTGGGGATTAGGGAAAATATAGTGTGGGGGTAGTAGCCAATGCTTCAGCTGATAGGTGCTCATAGTATGCTTTATTTACATGTGGCAGTAGGCTCCTATCATTGGACTATTGGGCAATGCCTGTTTATCATATAGAAAAAACCTGGGGGTAGATTTTACTCCAGGTAACTATGCCAAAAGTCATGTTCTGAATAAGGTCAGGCATTGGTGCTTGGAGGCACTTTCCAGGTATGTCAGGCAGGAAGTCCCTGCTGAGAAAGGAGCTGACCTTAACAGCAGGGTTCCCCAACATCTCCCCCTGTT